GGAAAAAAAGGCGCATGTGAACAGCAATGCACATTCGTGAAGTGCTAGCTTCTACTTCTCTTCGATCCTTACATTTTGATCCACAATTATAGTGGTAGTGAAATATGTGTGACGGAGACTCAGCTTTTGGAATGATATTTCACATTCATAATAACTAGGTGGATTTGAAGGGAATTGTCGTAATAAAATACAAAATATTTTTAAATTTGGATTTAACTTTTTTTCAATAGTTGAAGTTAAAATTTCTCTTAAGATATTACCTCTCGATATTTAAATAAAATATGTCAGATCTGCAGGCAACAAATTTATTTAGTCAATTAAATATTAAGGTATGCACATTTATTTATAATGCGCTGCACTGTTTAATTTTTGGTAATGTAATTTTAAATTTTTCATATGAAAAGACATGATATTGTAATGTAAATTAATTCAGATTGTCTACTTATACTCTACATTGTTATCTACATTAGTGAAAATTAGACATGTCTATAATTTTCAAAGCATAATTAGCTGTGATATTAAGCGACGATCAATGTATTATTTAATAGCAATCTGCTAGTGGAGTACAGGCATGTTCATTGGCTAATCATGCATTGAAATCTGTAAAATAAGTGGAGAAGTTCTCAGCTTGGGCGTGTCTTTATATTCTATTAAGTAATAAAATTAATTATGTACTATAGTGTGCAGCACATGGTGTGTTGTTGCTGTGCGTGTGTGCTGTGTAAATATGCCTTGTGCGTACACACACGTTATTGCAGCTTTAACACTTGAGATAAATATTACTCTCTTTAATATCTTTGCTACAAGTTGTACTTAATTGTATTTTATTGTACAAAATATATTAAAATTACTATCTATGAAATATTACTTAAAATTAATTTATAATAATATAATATTTGGGTGTATGCTGGCCCCTTGTTGCCTGCATGCAGCTGAACTTGTATGCTGGAACATCACATATTAAAGTTTCTTAGCCATATAATGTTTCGGTATATAAGGCGTAGTGGCTGGTCTAATTGCAGATTTTCTTACAGCTTCTATTCCAAATTTCACTTATATAATAAAATAAGGTTTAATGACCTATGCACTGTTGGAAAATCTCTTTTGGTCTGCCAAATAATCATTAATTGATGCAATAAGTTCATATTGTGAATACTAAAAGTGGCTTACATCATTTTCAAGTCAGTACTAAGTATTTTATCTCAATTCAGTGTGTAGTCCTTCATATGTTCTGTACTTTTAAATAAATTTTACCTATGTAAAAAACTAACAATATATTTAATTTTATTTTGTACTAATCATGGGAAGTGTTGTTTTATCCTTAAAATATATTAACATTGAGCTCCATAATATTATGGTTTCAATATGTCCTTCGCAAGAAATGCAGACACAATCTGTATTAGGCTACGAGTTTTTCTAGAAACTAGGTCAATAGGCAGACACAAGGAGTGAAATATTTTACAAGAGAAATGTCGTTAGTATTAATAATTTATATATTGTTGTACTTGTACGTAGATTGTGGCGTTTAATCATATTCAGATGTCTTGCGAACACTACGATTTAACAACTACGGCAAAGTGAACAATAACGATCATAAACGCGATCGTGCGAATATCTTAACGTTGCGCTGTAACCTTGACGGTGGAGACCGTTGTTATGCTAAGCACCTTTTGTACATAATCGTTTGTATTAGTTATTGTTAAAGTATTAGCAAAAAAATATAGATATGTAGGTAGAAACCATTTTTCCATCTATAGCTTGTTCAGAACAGTAAATCATCGATTGTTTCGTAGTATTATCCGACAGACAGTTACATAGACAGTTAAAAAAATTTAATACCTATTGCAAACAATCTTGTGATTTAAAACTAAAAATGTGTTAATCAATTTCAAAGAAGTTTGTTTTTTGTAGTTACCTTCAATACAGGTTTGAAAATTAACGTGGAGCGAAATCGAACCGATCGACATTTTTCTTGATTTAGTGTTAGGTAATAGGTAGATATTAATGTAGGAGTAAACTTATAAAAGAACAAGCAATTATAGTTTGGGGATGGTAAGCATAGCAGGTACCTAGGTACGTCCTGTAGGAATAAGATAACCAGGAAAGTAACAAACTACAAAATACCGAGCGTCATCTAGGTAGGTAGGTACCTGGCTGCACAGCGTTTAGTCGGCAACACAGTTTCTGGCCACAGGAAAATATAACGCGCGTTGCTATAGGTACTTAATGATGAGCACAGTTGTTGTCGTTAATTCAACTATTTTCAGAGGCCGAATACCTCCACAGTTCCTGGTGAAAACCAGTACCTCTGCAGGAAAGTACAGAGGTCGAAAATTACGACTATCGTGTGTAATCAAACATTTCGTAAGTATTCTTAGTATATAAAACAAAACAATAGTTATAGGTACTATATCTTGAACTTGAAAAAACTTAAATACCAAAAAATCCAAAGTTTTCTTTACTGGGCAAATAAGGTGTTATCTTCTTCAGGTAGGCATTGGCAAATTAGCCGAATTAGGTAAGTAGTTGACTTGCTTACGAGAGTTTGCATTAGAATTAGTGCATGTAGGTATTTCGTACAAGCTATAGCATACCAATAATATATACGCTCAGGTACCTATGTAACACGTTGCTATGTACCTAAGTTGCTATAAATAAATACTAACCGATTAGGTACTTACAACTGATAATATTTTACGTTTTTATCCTGAATGGTTGTATTCAACTCTAACACTTATGGTTTTAAAATTTTATAGGGTGGACGAGTATTTATCTAGATAATAGGCTGTGACGCATGGCGAAACTTACCAACACCCTAAAGTGAAGAAATGCCGTATAGGTACATTCACAAAAATTCTCAATACCTGCCTCAACTACCTACACCTAACTTTGTTGGATAGCAAATTTTAATACTTGTAGTTTACATTATTTGTACAAATAACAATTTGTTATCGAAATGTAGGTAGTTGAAGAGCTAGCGGTGGTACCTAGTAAGTGGGTAGGTACATTTTTGTAAATACCTAGGACGTGCTGTCCTCTTGAAGTAACATAGTTGTAAACCTCAAGCTATATATATTTACCCAATATTATGCTTCACTAAATTATGGTTATGTATCCTCATATTTTGTTTTTCTATTCGTTACCCTATGGTAAATGAGTTCAACACCTTTAGTGACGCCGTTTAGCAACCGAGACTGCCTGCGATACACAAATATTATTTTCAGGGATCATGTTTACACAGTAGGTATAGTACCTAATTGATAGTAATGATTTATAAATAGTACTAGCTACTTCCACGTGGTTTCACCCGCTCTGCTCGATTCTTACTGATCATAGCGTGATATTTTATAGTCTTCCTCGATAAATGGACTATCCAACAAAAAAAGAATTATGTAGTCAAATCGGACAAGTAGTTTCTGAGATCAGTGCGTTGAAACGAACTCTTTAGCTTTATTTTACTATGTACTTACGCACGGTCCGCTCCGCTCTGTTATTGATCATAGCGTGATGATTTAACCTATAGCCTTCCTCGATAAATGGGCTATCTAACACAATAAGGAATTTTTAAATCGGGCTTCTACTTCATGAGATTAGCACGTTCACACAAACAAACTCTTCTGCTTTATATAGAGTATGTAAGTATAAGATAAGTAGGTATGTACTACGAAAGTCCTACGTATTTACTGTACCAAACACCCAACTCTTGATTTCGTATTGGTATCCTGGATTGGGTGTAGAGGTAGGTAGGTACCTATTTGATATGCAACGTTCGATATTGTTAATTAGGTAAGTGCACGGGGAATCTTACATTCACGATTTTTTTTGTGCCCGGTTGCCGCGGTGGCTGGGCAACCGACTGCGACGCAACGTGTCGCGTGTTTGATTATCGCATGGAGTAACTCTTTGTGGCATCTACAAATTGTTGTTCGGAGACTGGGTGTCATTTGTAACTATCAGTGTACCTACCATATGAAATTGTTTGTAAACGCCCCCACGACAAAATCCTAATGTTACCCCACATTAGGATTTTCTCCTGTAAAACAACAAAAAATTGGTAGCATTTATTCATGTAGGTGCTTAATATAATATAACATCACTATTTTTAGTATAATCAACCCCTGTTATAAAAACAGCACTTCCGTGGGTAATCTGTTATCAAGTAGGTAGGTATATTTGCTTATAATGACGTCTTTTGGCAATAGAACTGATAACCAGGATAAATGGTTGTTCCAATAGATATGGACAATATTAACCAAAATGATCTTTTGAAGTTAACTCGTCGAGTACCGGTTTTATAGACACAATTAAAGAACAATAGGTCGCGGTCACCGGTGACCGCTTGGTGTTTGACAGTTTAACCAGCCTTTTAGAAACTAGGTTACCCCCAGTACACTTTTATCAGATACCGAACGTAGTACTTATGTTTAATGTTCCGATGTTAATTTATTGTGAAACATGGACTGCTCATGAAACACGCTATGCATAATGTCGCCTACTGTGTTTTGTATTTTGATTAAGGGATTTACGTCAAACCTATTTTTCTAAGTACCTAGTTTAAATATCAGTTTCTAAAAATAAAAATAATTTTATTTTCTCCAAACACGAAATCTATACTTCCATTATTAATATATAAAGCCGACTAATCTCAAGAAATGCTAGTTCGAATTAAACAATTCTCTATGTATTAATAGTCCAATTATCAAGGAAAGCAAATCAAAGATCAATAGATCCAACGCGGTAAAAGAAACCGCGTGGTAGTAGCTACTTTATTTACCTAATAAAATCATTTCATTGCGTCAAACCAGTAGTTCCTGAGAATAGCAGATTAAAACAAGCAAACAAGCTCTTCAGTTTTACATATTAGTATATGTATAAATGAGGTTACTGCAGTGTTTTCAGAGCAAGTTTTGGTGGTCAAATTACTTAAAAGTTACAAAATAAGGTTTACAGTTTTTAGTAACAGAGATTTATTTTAGGTACTTACTTAAAAACCTTAGGTACTATAGGTATTCTTTGAAGTACAATTTCTTACAAACTAAGCGGATATTTAGATCATGTAATGGAGGCACTGTATTTTCTTCCAGCTCTTCTTCTAAAGTTATGTGAGAGTTCTTTACACATTTATTTACATCAATACATACACACTGTTCGTTTCTATTATTGTTAGTTTCATTTCTTTCACAAGTGTAATGAGCATGGGGATCACTTATAGTACTAATACTATCTATGTTAGCAGTTAACATCAAATTAGAACTAGGATATATTAAAAATGCAAAAATAGTTAATGCTACTAGACATTGTATTGGCACAGCTGTGGACCAATACTTTTGTGGATAGTAATAAATATTGAAATAATGAAGACAAGAATCTGGAGTAATTGCCCATATAAAATATATAAACATCATTGTTTGACTAAATAAATACATGAAAAACCCATATAGTGACCTTGCCGGTGTGGGTGCAGGAGTATGCTCTGGCATATTGTCAGTTTCTTCTATAATATTACTTATATTGTTCTATTGTTTTAACAACCAATATAATATTTTGTATCATAGAATTCACTGCTACTCTTAATTTTTTTAAATCATTGCCATGGAAAGTTCTGAAACACAAAATAGAAATGAGTGAAAAAAGAAAATGGGAATACTTAATAGTTCTAGATCTTAATAAAAATAGATACTTAGGTAGGTGAGATGAAAATAGGTCCTACAAAAATCACCAGGCAATATAATTAAATAAAATTAAAAAATATATATGCCATAATATTGAACTTACATCACAAGAATTTCAGCATTAGTGTCTATTTTTTTCTGTATTCCACTTCTCTTTAATTCTTTATCAACGCTTAGTACATCTCGAGTTAGAGACGCTGACTCAGCTGAAGGAAAAGGAATGGTCAATGATCTAAAATAAAACAAACTGAAGTTTCAATATGTATAAGAATATTCACAGAAATAAATTGTGGACTGACTAGGTACAGTGTATTTTATCATTAAAATGACATCATTTGCAATGGTGAAGCATCGAGTTCTCTAGTTGAATGAGATTGCTTCAAATATTTATGTACCTACGTGATAATTTCGTTTATGTTCAATATCAGTACTCAATAATACTCACATATCCATATTTTAAACTGAAATTAAAAATAATATGCAGTAACCAATACGAACCGATAAAGGTTATAAATTATAATCATATAATGCGTATAGCACTATTGTACATAATATTGACTGATTATTTTATATAGGTCTATTTATTTAAATAACTTCTTTATAGGAAAATCTTATATATTTCTGTGTATGATTGGATATGGGCTAAGCAAGATATTAAAAAAGATAATTAAAATGAAAGTCATAGATCGAATTTTGAAATAAAAATATTGAAACGTTTAGACGACTACACGAGCATCCACATTGTCATTATTTTGTCAATGTCATTCTTCTATAGTTTTTACAATGACAAATGACATTTGACAATCGATAATCTCTCTCTCGGTTGTCTATGGCAAAGAGAGTGTGTACCGTGTCTATATATTCTGTGGTGTGGTGTAGTGAGTATTGAATTTGATTGTACTTTCATTTAAAATTAATGAACACCTCAACATATTACGTAATTCTGTAATCAATAATTTATTTAACACAAATTATTGAAATGTATAGAAATATAAAAACACATACATAAAAAAGCTAACCAAACAAAATGCCTATCGCTATTGTACTAAAGCCACGCCCTTCAGGCAAATTCACACAAATACGCCGCATACACATAAATAAACATTACATACGCAATACATATTGTTTATGTGTAGCGTTTAATGCAAACATATTTTTACACATATTTGCACATTCCAGTTACGAAATAATTCGTAGCCACTTGTGCACAGGTCACAGCACAGCTTAGTATTAGTACCATTCAAGTTTTTTGTATGACGGCAGCAGAATAAATCAATGGAGCACCGACAGTGATGCATTTCTTATTTATCTAACCGTTAGTCAAACTCCTGATGCACTGTCCATGAATTTCCTTTTTAGTGCTAATGGAAGATTACCTCTCATGGTCTTCGTTGCCTAAAAACGTTTTCGAGATGTTAAAATACCAATAAAATATTAATTTAATGGTCTCTGATATTTGTACATTTGGGATAGGAGATAGGGCTAAACTGTGAGAGAAGCAAAAAGTAGTGTTGTATTCATGTAAAAGATTTTATTATAATGTTCAAACACAATTTACTATGTACACATTATTTTGTAAAAATATTCATTCTTGTCTTATTATTTATTGATTCATTATTTTTATAGGCAACATTATAAACATGATAAAAAAACGTGAAAACTATTATGTATGAAAAATAGAAATTTCATTATAATTTTAAATAAGTACACGGAATCAGTTTATTATGCATTCTATAAAGATGCATATTTTCAAAATACATCAATATGTATTATATTATAAATATATCATAGTAGATAACAACTTAGTACAATGGCATTTATTCTCATAGATAATAATAATTAGATACATAATATTAATTCATTTAAAAGTAACGAAATGGCGTAACCGAATACTTATATGATATAATCGTCCGGCTGAACATCCATTATTCATATAATCCAGAGAGATCACCATAAAATAGAAGCAACCTCACCTGATAAATCACAAGAAAGTCGTTGGCGTAAATAGCTGGCTCCTCAAATTTTTAATAATATGAGAGAGTAGGAGATATTTGCAGTTTTCAAGACTAATGATGATGAGCAGATGCTTCACGATGACGAATCATCATTCGGCATACTCCACTAAGAACTATAGGATTAAAAATATTCACGCATACGAGTACACGTAGACGACACGTCGAGTACTAGCGACGTGGGCCCCAGGCGGCAGTGGGTGCAGGCGCGGCGGGCGCGGCAGCGCGCGGGCCGCCCGGCATAGTGGGGAACTCCTGCGTGGACGCCGTGTCGGGCGCGCGCTGCTCCCACGGTCCTCCCTTCACCACGAAGCCCGCGGCGCCGGGACCTGCAGCCGCCGCGGACGTAGCAGTCGAACCTGCGCTGCTGTTCACAGACTCTCGTTCCGAACCAAGCACGTCACCGAAATCACCTAGTGAAGGTGCAGCTGGTCGGGTGTACCGATCGGCAACATCTTGCATCTGACAAAAACAAAATTTATTAGTCATATAGCCTAACTATCATATAATATGTGATCAAATATTACATGGATAATGCTTACATATTCTTCAGCCAAGTTGAGAAGGTGGTCTTTTGCATCAAGGACATTATCTTCGTCTCCAGTTATGACAACAATGCTGTCGTCGCCTTGTTTCGGGAATCGAATGTCGACCTTGTATTCATCCATAATGCGCCTGATATTTTTACCTTTGAGACCAATCAACCTCCTATGAACTCTTGGATCAATGTCGACTTCCTCTCGGCACTGATTATCCTGCGTAGATAACAATTGAAAGTAATGACAATTTGGTTAAAAATAAAACTATATAAACTGTAAATTTTATTCAAATATTTAAAATAATATAAATAAATGAAGCTTACCAGCTGATGCACGATGGCCATAATAGCTTCCTTTGCTTGTAGTGCCTTATCTTCATAGCCTTGAATTGTAATGATATCATCATCAGCCTCACCACGTTTTGGTAAGTTTATTTGTACTCCATAGTCAGTGCGAATCTTTGTAATGACAGAACCTCCCTTGCCAATAACGAGAGGATGATATTCAGGGTCAACTTTAAATTTCAGCTCAAATGATCTAAAAATAAAATTATATATTGTATTTTTATATCAAACAGAATTTCGTTCGGCAATCTGATTGGCCGGCGCCAATAAACCAACCAATCAGAGTGTGTAACGCGTACTCGTTACGATTACTTTAAGCGTAAAACAAACTCGTACTAAGGCCTCCTAGGACAGAAGTAATAACATTGTTTATGAGTCTGTGAAGTCTACCCAGCTTGACATAACAGTAATGCAATAGTACTAACCTGAGAATCCTGTCTTCTTTCTCTTTCTCCATGTCAACAATTTTGTCAAGCAGTGCAAGTTTGGCCTTTTCAACATTAGTTGGAGTACCTGTAACCTGAATAAACATAATATGTTATTATTGTTTTAATATTTTATATAGTATAATCATAATTATTACATATGTAGTGTATAATGGTACAGAATAGAAAGAAAATAAAAATGTGTACTATTGTCTCCTTACTTTAACAAAGTCACTAGGATCATCATTGAGTGGAAGCAAGATGTGTACATCATATGTTTGCATCAGTTCCCTCCTCTTCTGGCCAGAGAGCAATCGGTGCAGTTCATTTGGAACCTCCACATCTATGGTGATTGGCACCTGGGAAAAGTTATAATTATAAATCAATTCTATTCATTATAACAGTGAACTCAATTCTATGTCTAAAAGCAATAATACCTGCTCAAGTAAAGCTTTTTTAGCAGCTTCGCAATTTTCGGGGCGACCAGTGATTCTAATGATGTCGTTCGGTCCAGGTTCAGCGCTCTCATTGTTTTCTTTAACGGGAACATCTGCGCCTTCAGTCGTGTCACGTTCCGGGAATTTAATTTGCACGTCGTGTTCAGCTGTGATGTCTTTAACCTTAGCACCACGGGCGCCCATCACTGTGCGATGGTGCCTTTGAGGTATCACGCATTCTATTGTTACCTGTAAAATCCTTACTATTATAAATGGGAAAGTGAGTTTGTTTGTTCCGCTTTCACGATGTAACTTCTAAACCGATGGCCTTGAATTTTTGCAGACGTAAAATTAGAAGTCCGGATTAAATAATAGGGTACTTTTTATCCCGAAAAATTTTGGGTTTCCCGAGGGAAAATTAAATTAAAGAATTGGTATAGATGGCGCTGTGTGTATTGGTATAAGCTACTTTTATCCTTTTGTGACGCGTGCGAAGCCGCGTGTAAAAGCTAGTAAGATTATATAAATAAATATTTTTTTATTAGTATTACATACAATTGAAAATTATAATATAAATATAATATGGTAATAACCTTTGCTTCCAAATCCTCGATGATTTCGTTGATACGAACTTTAGCTGCCTCAATGCAGTCCTTAGGACCTTTGAGTACGACACGGTCACTGTTAACTCCCTGTCTTGGGAATGAAATTTGTACGCCTCCACAGTCTTCCGCTATACGTCGAAGCACCTCGCCACGACGGGCCACGAAGTGCCGGTGGTGACGTGGAGCTACTGCCATCTCACCTTCGGAAACATTACTGATTTCTGCTACGGCGGCTTCCAACTGCTTCCGAGCCGCCTCTACTTGCTCTTCGCGACCTGTAATTAAGATAACGTTGAATGAATACTTTGCAATTTTTAAAATTTAAAATGTAATTTTTGTAAAAATATTTCAAAAATAACATACCAATAATGAATATGGCTTCTTTATCTTCATCTTTTTCAGTCGGGAAGATAATGCGAGCTCCAGTTTGTTCGCGTATTTTTTTAATATTAGCACCATTTTTACCAATCAGGAATTTGTGATGTTCCGGCTTAGCACGTACATGAGCGGTGTGAGAGGTCAGTTCGCGTTCTGAAGCATGTGCAAGTAGTTGCTGTTTAGCTTTTTCAACATCTTCAATGGGTCCCTTGATGACGACTTTGTCGCTATCGCTTTCCGCAGGCGGGAATTTAATCAGAACTCCACCACACTCTTCCATAATGGAATGAATAAGTTTTCCACCGGCCCCAATCAAAGAATTATAATATTTAGGAGCGATTGTTACTTCTTCTGTAACAACATTGGCTTTCTCATTATGGATTTGTTGGATTCTTTTAACCGCTTCTTCAACATTTTCGCGTTTCCCTCGCACTGTTATAACATCGCTGTCGTCACCTTCAGCTGGAAGGTCAATCACAGTCTGGGTTTCATCTCGAATTTTTCTCAAGTTGGCACCACCTTTACCAATAATAAACTTATGGAATTGTTTGAAAATGGGCACTTCTTGGACATATGAAGACTCTGCTATTTCTTTTATTACTTTGTGGAGGTATTTTTCACATTTCTCAATATCTTCCTGGGGACCTCTAAGCTTAATAGGACTCCTCTTTTGTCCTTGATCAGGTAGAGAAATAAGCACGCGTTCAAATTTCTCTCGGAGCTCTTTTATTTTCTCTCCCCTAACTCCGATCAGAGATTTAATATATCTATGATCAACATAGACTTCCTTTGTCCTTTCATTCTCTAATTTCATCACCATTTCTCTTAACTCTCTTTCTGCATCAGCTACACCTTGATGGCTACCTTCAATGCGAATTATATTGTTGCCTTCGTTTTCAATTATGTTAATAACTACCCCAGTCTCATCCTTCAGTCTATTAACTGAAATAAAAACAATTATTTGTAAAATAAATGAAAACTAAAAAATGTTGTATGTTAGCAAATTTAAAGTAATAAGACAAACTTACTGTTAGTTCCATTCTTTCCAATTATATGTTTGAAGAATTTAGGGTCGACTGATAGTTCAACATAGGTCAGAGTAGCCAGCAAGTTTTTCACAAAGTCATCCAACTCCACTTGAGCGCGCTCTACTTCCTCTGGGGGACCATCAATCTTCACCTTATCTTCAGAATGGGTAATATCAACGTGAACCTGAATATTAAAATTGAATGACCATTACAATTAATTAAGAAGCTAATGGAATATGAAATGGAAACATCAATTAAATCCTTCATCTCGATAGTTAATGAAAAAATATAAAATAATTCCATTGAAATACTAAAACTTACTCATACAAAAAAATATTATATTAAATTTCAACTCAATTTAGTATCAACCTAACTTTCAAATATTTTTTATTTATTTCTATCAAATATAAATACATTTTAAAATATCGATTTGCTTCTTCATCCAAATCAATTTAGCCGTTCTTGAGTTATAAATAGTATATAGATTTACATACCTTTGAGAAGTCTTGAGTTATCTTTTTAATATTAGAGCCATTCTTCCCAATGATATACTTATGGATCCAGGTTGGGGCATCAACAGTAGCAGTTTTCACAGAGTTTGCTTTTTCGCATACTTTTGAAAGAGCTGTTGATAAAATTGGACAATTTTAGAATGTTTTAATAACTCATATTTTATATGCCTAGTGTTAGTGACAGCAAGTGGTACTTACCCAAACCAATCTTGTTGTGGGGTCCATGCAGTGTAATGGTACCAGTGGGAGAATCTGGAGGAGGCATCTCCACAGAAACTTCGGTTTCTTTAAGAATTTCCTGAATAGTTGTGCCACGAGCGCCAATCACGTATTTGTGCTGAGATTTAGGTACCTCAACACGAACAGTTGAACATTTTTTGACCTTTTAACAAACAAATTATCGAAAAAATATACATTTTGGAGTAAATAACTAATTAATCAGAATGTTTGATGGTAGCTTAATTTTCTTTACCATTTCCTCGTAGATTTGCTCAATCTGAGCTTTGGCTGCGAGTACTCCATTCTTCTCGCCTGCAATCACGATTTCGTCGCTTTGAGTCGAAGCAGGCGGAATGTGGATGCGCGCTCCTGTCTCGGCGCTAAGCGCAGATGCACGTTCTCCGTATGGACCCTGAATGAATGGGTGATAAATCTTCGGAATCTTGATGCGTTCCAAAGCCTTACGCGACTGTAAATAAAAAACGTATAATAATTTAACAATAAGCAACAAAATAAGGTTTTATGATACAATAATTGAATAAAAGACAAAAAGTTTACCTGTTCCTCAGAGCAAACTCGGATTTCATGTTCAGCTTTTTCTATGCCCTCCTTAGTACCAGTAATGGTAATGGTCTCACTATTATCAGCAATACCAGGTACATTGATTTTAGTAGCAGTCACTTTTTCCAACTCTTTCAACTTCTGACCTTGTTTTCCCAAGATCCAACGGTGGTGTTCCTTGGGGATGTTAATTTGCTTGCTGGCCTATAAACAAATACATTTTATAGACATTGTTATTGCTATTTAAAAAAAAAACAAAATATTCGGCTGCGGGACGATCCCCGTTTTTGTCGGGTAATGCTGAGGACTTAGTAATCAAAACGAGACCGCGTTTGGCGCTAAGCCCTCTGTTCATGGCTATGAACTCCTCGAGAAGCTTCAAACTAGTCGAATTACGTCGTCAAACAGTTAAGGTAGTAAGCGATTAACTAAAATTAATTAAAAAATCTATATTGTATAAGTTTACCTGTTGCTGGAAGTGTGTCAAGATAAGGCGCCTTGCGTCAAGTACAGCGCTATGTTTGCCAGTTATCAAGAAAGTCAAACTGCCATCTTTGCTGGTAGATATTTCGATGTGCGCTCCAGTATCTTTAGTGATGGATTGACAAGTTCTCAAGGATTCTCCCTCACCGAAAGTGTTAGCGTTGTCTAACTTTCTCTCTTCATATGGCACATGGAATACCTGTAAATGTAATTTTTATAGATATTTTTAAGAGAATGTATTGTTTTCTGTTACGTGATGTTCATCCTGTTGCATTAATTTGATTTTTTACAACTGTCAATTAGAATCGGATATTAAACCCAGGCTTTGACTCTAATGTCAATAGTTACCTTGCCTTAATGACTCAATTTTAACTTAACTCGTTGAGTACCGTAATTATAGACACAATTAAAGAACAATAGGTTGTGGTCACCGGTGACCGCTCGGTGTTTGACAGTTTAAAATCTTTTATTGCTAACTTTTTGTTTTGATCCTAAATCGTTTAGTAAATTTTTGTTATTGTTTTTTAAACGATATAATAACATAACATAACATCACGCCTTTTATCCCCGAAGGGGTAAGCAGAGGTGCACATAGAAGTAACACCCACTTTTCACTATTTATGTTATGAGTCCCATGTAATAGGGGGTGAGCCTTTTGCCATATACCGGGCACATTTCCAGACCCCGTGCTACTACTGAGATTTTTAAAAAACACAGTAATAATTTGCCCGACCCGGGAATCGAACCCGAGACCCCTTGCCCGGCAGTCGCACTTGCGACAACTCGGCCAACGAGGCAGTCAATAATAATTATCCATAAAATACTTTTTTAATAAAGTTGTATTCATACAAGTTGTTGGATATATTCATGTTTTATACTGTCGTAAAGTGTGTAATATAATAATACGAGTCAAAGCTGGCAGTTTGTGTTGGCTTGTACAGACACGTGGACAAGTGCCCTACATACTACAAATGCACAAGTCATGTAATATACATGAATGGCATAGTTGAGCTTCAGTATAAGCTCACATAAATCTGTACAATTTATATAAATATATATAATCTCAAACATTACGCATTCATGAAAGATATTAAAAATCAAAATTCGTAATAAATTGTTTGGTGATAACAATGTTAGTTATCAACTCATTTTGTTTTCATTATCTGTAAGAACTTAAATATTATTACCCAACATTTATTTATCACTAGCCATTATTGATTACGTAAGATTTAAATAGTATGCCTTCCACGTGTATAATTTACGTATGTATAAGATCTTAATGCAAAATATCAATATTGGGTAGGTGCCTACCTAAAGTGTTGTAATAGAAAATGTATAGTGACTGATTGCTAATTAAACTGTCCCATTATTGAGAGTGGTTGCTAGTGCAACTGCCTATGTCTTGGGTTGGGTACCTAAATTACTTTTCCTTTTTTTGGGGTGATTTGCTAAACTTGCACTTAGGTACAGTGGTATAACGTGTTTGTTTTGGTACAGTCCTACTCATAGCATAACTTATGACAAATGGATAAGATATGAATCCTACCTGAGTATGCAGCGACGATCCAACGCGCAGCTTATTGGTAGCTTGTTGAATGCTGCGTTGGACAGGTGGCTGCGAATGAGGCAACGCCGGAAACAGATCGTCATAGGCGTAGGAAGCGTTGTTCTCGTAGTTCACGTTATTCATCTCCTCAACATGCACGGGTATCTCAGAATGAACAGGAATCATATCTCCAACCATCATGGATTGCTGATGCATCATGTTCGTCCCCTCCAGCAGTCCTTTTTCGCGCCAAGTCGTTACAGTACTAATAATTTAAATAGAGCACAGTAATTTTTATTGATAACATTATATAGTCAGTCAGTACAACAGCCATGGTCTTATTTGCATTATCATATTTGAACAATTGCTTAAAATTTATTCATTCTAAAATTATGTTCATTGTATCCAATACTGAATACAATATACTTTGATTGGAATAATCACTAGTTTCAATCAAGGACATTTGTTTTAAGTGTATATAAGTTAGATTGAAAAAATATAGGAACATTGTATTTCCTGCATATAATTATAGAAATATGGAATTGGAAGTTAACGGTTTTAAAAGGAATGGATTGTCACTAACGACTTTACAAACTTCAACTACATATTAATTTGTTGATAAGTAAACTGTTATTATCTTAAGTTATGACTTGCTTCCCGTTATTGTATATCATAAAAAAAAATACTTCACACTCCAAACAAATGCAAAGAATTTTCATTACCAATTTTAATGGCTGTATCAATCAATATTCAAATGTTGAATTTTGTTTAAGTATAATATGCTGAATGTGCTGACGTAATGATTAATCTAATTAAATTATTTTACTCATTTTTTAACTATGACAACATTAGAAATCATGACTCTAACATTCTTCTTTCCAAATACTGCCATTAGCAATTACCACAAATTAATTAATAATTATAAATATCTAATATTATTATGATGCATGTGGACAATTTTAGTGTATGATTTATAGTTATTATTAAATTTCATATAAGCATAAATGCAACCTCAGTTAAAGAGAATACAAAACTAGTATGCTCAATAATCACACTGTTTCAATGTAGACCAATATGCAATTAAGAATATTTAAAGCTTAGCTTAGTGTTGATAGCCTTTATAGATATTTTGTTTGTGAAAGCAAAAAAGGAACACTATTTACAAGGGAAAATTCACACATTTAAACTGTACACAGAGCACACTATTATTTTAGAAATAAGAAAGAAAGTAATTTAAAGGATCTATGCCCCAAGAAAGATTTTGAATTGAAGGAGGTTTTAATTAAAAACTCTAACTATAATCTGATAATAATATAAAAATAATTATTATAAATGGTAAACCATATAATTTATGGTAAAAAAAATATGAAATAATTGAAGAACTTCAAGCTTCCTAAGTCTAGAAATGTATATAGAAGAAGGAAAAAAACATTTCATCAGGAAAATTATATTTTTAGTGCAGTTTTAAGTAATATCATAGGTTTTCGGCGTTTATGTATGTATATGGTGCACGAGACATCTACATAATTAGACATTTACGACTAATTTCAATGTTCGAGTGATTAATGAAAAGTAATGTGGTTTTTGTCAACTCAATGCAATAGAAATATGTGTTATTATGTCGCATTTGGTCTGAAAATAATCAAATATGAGTAAAAAAATTAAGACAAATTGGCATCCCGATTTTGATAATACGTGTCACCTTCCAGCACATTTGACGTGGAACTCGTCTTAACAAAATACAACAACACTTACCGAAAGTACTGTAGCTAATCAATCTGAAAGATTATCCTTTAGTCGCCAGGATCGGTTATATATTTCCCTGTACAGAAATTAACATTATCAATAAATATCTAAAACTAAAAACTATAAATTTTAATTTTCTTATACAGACACACACGTACCCAGCTGCAGTAGCGAGAGAAATATGCACAGATAACAGTAGAAAGTTATAAAAAAGATTTTAGCATAAACGATTTTCAGGTCTGGTAACATCATAAATTTGAAGGCTGACTGACAGTTTGTACCACCTGATGACATCAGTATTAACAACATTTAGTTAATACTGAAAACTGACTGAAAATGGATAAATAAACTCACATGTTAGGTTACATCAATAGTATGTAATTTAACATTAATATTATTAGTAAGATTCCTCTCTTCTATTAGTATTTTTTTTATTTCAAGTTGTTTATATTTATAAAAAAATAAATTTATTTTATATTCCTATTATTATATAGTTAAAATAGTTTTTGAAATCACCTTTTATGTAATGTTACTATATCCCTAGCTATTGTCTATGGCCCATGAAAAAACTTTTATTGTCTTTGTTCTACTCGATGACATAGCTACGGCATATTTTTGTCAATGGCTAATGGCTAAATAAATTGGTTAGAAATTAAATGGTGATTGTGATTTTGTTTCTTGAAAACATATAATTATAAATATAACGCCGTTTTCACTAGTATTTGTTGCTCCGGGTTTAGTTCTTTAGTTGCTCTTATGATTCGTGAATAATGGATAAGATACCTAGGACTCACGAAGGTAATAATTTTGTTTTGTGTGGCCATATTTTATTATATTACACATTGTTTGTTCAATTGACTTACTTTAACTCTTTTGTTAATAGAGTGGAATATAGGAATTTATTGTAGTAATGTTCTTGGATGTATTTTATTAATTAATTGCATATACATATCTCAAACATGTTATTGATTACCACGCCTTGTGTATAGCAGTACACTGCAGGAATGGATGTATAGGATAGGAAAAAGAATGAATAGTTTATTGCTTTACGTTTAAATATATATTGCTTAAAAATATAATTGTCATAATAGATAATTGTCTAAAAGGTTTATATATACAATTAAGTCCAATAGAATAATTGTTTTTGTTTTTAAACATAGCATTTGAGTGTTTATCTTCATGCCTACTTGGAGTTGAGTTGAAACCTCTTAAACTTGCGTTAATCGAATATATAAGTTATGTAATTGCTTTATTTTCATTTATCAAAACTATATGTATAATACATTCATTTAAATTTACAGCTATTGAAGCACAAATAAGAGAAATCCAATCAAAGAAAAATGAATTGCCAGAGAATGGTTCAAATAAAGGTGTATCGCTAGGCGAGACATACTATGACAGTGATATTTATGATAATGCTGGCCAAGGTGGGAAATCTAGATATGATGGGTATGTAACCTCGATTGCTGCTAATGATGAAGTGGAAGATGATGATGTGGAGAATGTCCCAATCACACAAAAGAGGTCAGGAGGTTACACTGCACCAGCTTCCTTGCTGAATGATATTGCACAGGTATTTATTTAGTATTTAAATATTTTCATTTAATAAAACAAACTGCATGCAATGTTATCACTGAATGGTTCTATATTAATTACTTGCATAATATTATGCAAGACTTGTGGAACTAAAAAGAAAAAAGAAGTAATAAGTGTTGTAATAATATTTTTTTATTTTTAGACCGATAAGGACAATGATCCATTTGCTGATAAAAGAAGACCAACCATTGCCGACAGAGAGGATGAGTACCGTCAAAAGAGGCGTAGGATGATAATATCCCCAGAGCGTACAGATCCATTTGCAGAAGGTGAACTTCAAGTATACACATATAGTTTAAAATCTTTGTAGATGATAGAGATCTAGATGATTTGGAGTTAGATTAGCGTCTAGTCTAGCTTATCTAACTAGATTATTAGTAAAGTGGAGACATTAGTATTATAATTCATATTGTTTACAGGTGGAAAAACACCAGATGTTGGATCTAGGACCTACACTGAGATTATGAGAGAGCAGTATTTGCGAGCTGAAGAAACTGAGGTACAGTAATAAGTACTATTTCTTGTATGATGTACAGTAAACCAGTGCTTTTTTTTCTTTTTAATGTTAAAAGAAAATCATTAAATAATATTTATTTTTTTATTTGCTTACAGTTGCGAAAAAAGTTGCTGGAAAAGGCAAGGGAAGGCACTCTTAAACCAGTAGCTCAGTCCAATGGTGAGGCAACCAAACCAGCATCAAAACGCAAAGGTCGCTGGGATCAAAGTTCTGAGGACACACCTGTGGCTAAGAAAACCGTTGCGGCTACACCAACTTCTCAAACTACACCATCCTGGGATCAAGAGGTAACTATTTGTTCCTTATCAAATTTATTGTGCTTACATAATAGTATTGTCAGTTTATTTTCACTGTGAATTAATTACAATTTTCAGAGGGGTGCTTGGGAAGAAACACCTAGTGCACCTGGTCGAGGTGGAGAAACTCCCGGAGCGACGCCTTCTGCGCGCGTGTGGGATGCCACGCCTGGACATATTACACCCGGACATGCCACTCCTGGTAGAGACACTCCTGCTCAACATGCCTCCAGGCGTAACCGCTGGGATGAAACTCCGAAAACGGACAGAGGCAAGTAGACAGTCACTGAAAATCGTGAATATTAATTACAAAATGAAATAAAATTAATATAGATTCAAATCTGTGTTTAATAAAATATTGTTACTGGCAAAGCACTTACTTAGCTATTATAACGCCAGCCACGATCTTCAACAAATTACAGGTCTGATATTTTTTACATTTCCAAATCATGTTTGTATCATATTTTTGTTTTGTTCTTTTATAGAAACACCCGGACATAACAGTGGTTGGGCTGAAACGCCCCGCACTGACCGTGGCACTGGTGTGGATACTATCCAAGAGACGCCCACGCCAGGCACCAAGCGCCGCTCGCGCTGGGACGAGACGCCGGGCGCCACGCCGGCCGCCGCCACGCCGACCCCCTCGCACGCCACACCTACTCACGCCACTCCTTCCCACGCTACTCCCTCACACGCCACACCGACTCCTCACACGCCCATGTTTACACCTGGAGGAGTGAGTTATTTTTTTTAACCAAATAATTATGCTTTCTAATATTATACTGTTTTAAGGATTCAGTCTTCCTATTAGTTTGTCTTAAACATTTACATCTTTTAAATTTTATATATTGTATATAAGATTATTAAATGTTTTCATATTACAGTCAACACCAGTGGGGATGAAGGCTATGGCGATGGCGACACCAACTCCGGGACACGTGGCTGCTATGACACCTGAGCAGTTGCAAGCCTACCGCTGGGAGAAGGAAATAGATGAGCGCAACCGTCCTTACACTGATGAAGAGTTAGATGCCATGTTCCCACCTGGGTACAAGGTTTTACCG